GGAAGTTGTTGTTGCTATGGAAACAAGAAAAGTTTCACAGCGGGCGGAACTTGTCATAATGTCCGCGATAATAAAACCCACCCATTTAGAGGGAAGATATGATTGGTCAATTGTACTGTCATTTGACATTACTCTCTCGTTCAGTTACTATAGCGGGCCCTCTGTGAATCGCAGAGAGGGCCAGGCGAGCTTCTTTCATGTAACCCCTACATTCAAACAGAGAATGAACAGGCAGATTCGAAGGATTTATTTCTTTGGAAATGTTATTTTAAATACAATTAAATCAAGTTTTTTTTCGGTAAAACTAATGAAAAATATAACAAAAATAATATTAAAAAAATATATATTTAAAAAAAATATTATTTTTTTTAATGTTTTTAAATATTATTTTTTGGAATATCTTAGGCCCTCACAGAGGGCCTAGAGGGCCCTGACGGCTCGCCACTGATCAGACGGCTTTTCAGGAATAAATCAAAAACTTTCCAAGCATACCATCACCTGAAGAATAGCCAGTCTGTAGTTTGTTCTGTATAGTGAAGGCTTTTATGTGGCACCAAACCAAGCCTTTGAACAGAAGTTTATCTCAGTCTAGGTATACTGTGTTCTAAATTAAAGGGCTTTGTTAAATACATGTGTAAGGTGTACATGGTGCCATCTGAAGTGGATGGAAGTCAGTGAGCTGGTCTAATGCGGCCTCTCTGTGGGTGATGAGTGCCACTGTGCCCACTCATGGTCGCAACATAGGACCAATCAAAGACGGTCACATGCAGAGTAAAATAAGCCTCAAGGTGTTTCCCCCCCACTGTTTGAAGTGTCAGGGTGGGGTAAGGAGTTATTCTGGCTCTATAAGTCAAGTTGTCAGTGATATATTGCACTGGGCAGGGCAGCAGTAGGGGGGAGAATGAGTGTGCTTGTACTTGTTCAAGTAGATGTGATTAAGGAAAATTACCATATTTAGCTCCTTGTAATTAGGTAGTATTGGTATCTAGAAGGCTTGTCAAGGATTTAACTGTTTAATGCTTGTAGATTTAAGATAACTTTAGCTATAAGTGTACAGATTATGTTAGGAAATACTAGTTTGCACCCTCTTTCAATTTCAGTACATGAAGAGAAAGAGTTGAAGGTGTTGGTATTCCTGTGCTTACAAAACACGTATTTTGTAACCTTCTCTCAACTCTAACTGTAGATGATGGTAAACCCATTTGGATTCCATGGCAACAGCTGCAAATCTGGACTGAGAGAAGCATTACTTTAACCCTAGCGAAAATCACCACTATCCCTCCAATAACCACTAAACAATTCAGTGTGATTACCTGTTTGCTACTCCTCCGTACTCCCCTCCCGATTCCTTTTTCATGGAGTCAGAGCTGGCACAGTGCTTAATCATGTGCTATGAAACCACTTTGCTTATTACGTACATTTAGGAACACTATAAAGAAACATGGTCGCAATAAAGCTTTAGTATGCAACTGTGGCTTTATGTGCGTTCCTGATCAATGAAGAGCTGGTTGAATGTGAGGTTAATTCAGGTTTACTGTTACTCATTGGTGCTAAAGTATATTCCATTACTCCGACATTAGTGCTCTGCCACTCTCCGCTGTGGTTTTTTAACATTAATCTGGCAAAGAGAATTAAATGAGGCTTACAGAAAAGCTGTGTGCATTGACAAGACTTGAATGAAAATTGTAGCAGGATGGACTAAGAAGGCTTGAATTTAAATGGGTGTCTTTTTATTATTAAACCATTTTGTTCTGGTTTAATAATGTCACTCTGGTGAGAGTTAAGATTAATTATGGTGGCATACAGAATCAAGGGGGTTTACAACTAAATGTATCAATATACTTAAAACATACAAATACAGAGACAACCCACACACACTCAATGACAACAGGGAAACATATGAACCACAATAGAGGACTGATAGAACATGCATATCAAGTATCTCAGAAATGGGGGGGCCATTTTGTATTGTTAACAGGAATCTGGATTTACTTAAAAAAGATTACTTTGATTCCAACAAATTGTAAGAAAATGACTTTGTTTAGCTTTAAGTGCAAACATACCAACAGGACACCATTCATTGCAATATAAACACATAATAAAAGTCACATTATTACATCTTATAGATAATTAAATGCAAACTTTAACAACATTTAAACAATACCATGTTATGCCAACACATAATATATCATCCTCTAACAAGCTAAAGTATCTGCCCAATGAAAATGTCGACCTGCTGTGGCACTACAATCATTTTCAATCTTCCTCTGTATACAACAAATGATTGAAGCTTAATTTTATGGCAATCAATGCAGAGGTAGATATCTCATTCAGGATTGAACTAGAGGACAGACGGATGACAAATACAAACTTGATAAATGGCAAAATCTTCTGACTGTGTCTTCACAAAAGGGAAAACATTAGCATACACGCTCTGTGCATTCTCAAACTGGTCTCATAAAGAATGTATGCAGCATAATATATTTTTCATAAAGCAGTTTGTACTGTAATCTCATCACAACAAGCAATATGTTGGTCCCAAGGAAGCACTGCTTTACAATGTAGTTTTGTGCACTTTGGTTGCACAAGCAGCAAAGTGGAGAGTAATCATGGAGGCCGTTGATTTATGGTGCTTGTCCCTGATTAAGTTGGATATATGGACTCGTATAAACAGGATCCCGATGCTGTGATGTGAGGCATCTTCTGCTTTGCTGGTCTAACTAGATTATGGTTTTGTGTTCATGTGTCCAATGTGATACAGCTATAGCGTGGCAGCAGCAGTAGAATATTAGTAGCTTGAAGTGGAGCAGTGTCTGTATTAAATGTTCATGTACTCATTTCGCTTTGAAAGACACACATCTGCACGTACAAAAAGTAGTAAAATATGCAGGCACACACAAACAAAAAAAACCCACACACACACTCCGGCGGGTTTTCGTATTAACAGAGGACCTTTTAGAGTGAGTGGCACTCGGCTGTCTTGTGGGACATATGGCTCAGTGTGACCTGCCAGTGTCCTTCACTGTTGTTGGCTTCTCCCCAAAGCCCCCGGGCTGCACAGCTCTCTGTAGTTAGCCCCACCTTCTAACACTGGCAGTCTGTGTTCACACCAGCGCTTTTATGTTGCGATGTTGCATTGCTGTTAGCCGCTAGTCTCTATAGGACACACTCAGAGGCACAGCGGCGTTGTATCAGAACACAAACAAGGCCGCTATCATTTCCGCAGACACCTTGACTTTATGAAAGGAAGGAATATTCAGTTCATACAGGATAGGCTGCCATTCACTTTCCAAGGACTACACTATCCATCTTTGAAACGAGCACTTTAAATCCATAATTCTGCATTTGTCGAGGCTGCTATTAAGGAGAAACAACTCTAAAACAAGCAGCAAAACGAATACTATACACACTCCGTAGCAACTTTATACATATGTGTAAAATCTGAAGCAATCCAACAGAAGAACTCAACCATAAATATGCCTTTTATAAAAAATATATAGATATTTAACAAAGTCTTTATTATTGCAGTTGTATTGTGCAGTGGTGTTAAACTGGACTTCATTTCATTGAGATGTGTTTTAGAATGTTTTGCATGCCACATTTAAAAACATTAGGCAAAGGGAACAATGCAATTACATTCTCCCCCCCTGCCTGAAACGCCGCGATTGGACTTCTTAAATGACTTCCGTAACTTAGTGACATCACTATGCAACACTCGCGCTAGCGCTCCAACACATTGTATGTGATAGACTAAGGGGCGGGACATCTCTAAGCGGTTGACCACACAGCATCACAACAGAGCCGGCCAGCTAACCAATCAGAGCAGACTGCGGTGGCGCTGCAGCACAGGCAGTAAGAAAAATAAAGAGCTTTTTGAACATTAAAGCATGGAAATATGTCACAGTAGAGGCACTAAATACTAATAAAATAAGCATAATATGGCCCCTTTAAGGAAGACTATATGGAAGACTATATGGCCGAGTTTTGCAATCGTATTACTGCTGCCTGATGTAGCTGCAGAAAACTAGCAAGCTAAAAGAGACTAAAACGCTTCGTACTCTCCAGCTTCTCAGCCCCACCTAGTTAATCTAATTGTGTTCTAACACAAACAGCCCAGCATTCACCCATCAATCACATCAAAAATGTGTTATTTTGAAAGGAAACTCATCATGAAATTCTGCAGTCATTTGTGTTTGTCGTGTATTTCTTGGTGTTCTGGGGCCCAGTGCCAACGAAGTACTAGCGTTGTTGTTCAGTTGAGATTTATAACCCTGTACTTTACAATGTATGATGTATTTTCTCAGTGTGACTGGGTTTCAAATGTCCCATTTATTCTCCCTCAAGCCTTACTTTTATGAATTCAGGGACTGTGGGGCCGAATGTAGTGGAGCTGGGAATTGTGGGTTTATTTTTCTATATATATTTCAATTTCCAGTTCGTCCAGATTAGATGTAATGTATTACACAATAAACTACAGTTGAGGATTTTGAATCCTAGCTTTGTATCTTACCACATAAGCCATTCTTGCTTTTACTTTAGTTGAATGATGTGCTACGACTTTAAAGAATAGGATATTACTGCTAGCCTGTGGGTTGCATGGTACCCAACATTAACCTTGAATACATTTCTTGGATTCAGTTGATCAACTTGGTTGCCGTTGGTAGTTTCTTTATTTAAAGGCTTATCAGTTCATTCATGTTTTTGTGTTCATTACTAGCTACTATCTACTGTATTTCTACATCCCTTTGGCATTTATTTTGTTACCAACTATTTTAATTATTTCACTATTCTGAAAAAGCAGTTTTCTGGCCTTTGAATGCTGAGATACATTTTGCCGCAGAGGTTTCCTACAGAACCGTGATTATATTTCAGGCACATTGTGAAAACTGGTTTCTAAAATGCTACAAAGAGAAGGGTAAAGAGCCACCTGTGTGTTGATATTCTGTGCAGTGCTGCAGGAGTGTATCTTTGTGTTCTAACCTTGTGCTTTCTCCATGCAGGTACACCCTTTGCTGATGCGCGAGCGGCGCTCAGAGTCTCACAGGAACAAGCTGCTGCGGCGGACAGTCAGCGTTCCTGTTGATGGAAGGCAACATCCCGAGATGGGTGAGCAGACAAACCTTTAAACAGTCTTACTGTAGTTAAAACATTTTCTAATCGTGTTGTTAATCAATGTCTAACCAACACTTTTTTGTCTTGCTTAAAAACATTTAAATTCCAATTAAATATCTTCAGGTCACTTAGATTCAGATTCAAGATTAGATTCAAGCTTTATTGTCATGTGCACATTACAGTAGCTACAGTGTAGATATGGCAATGGAAAACTTAAGTCACAGGCTCCTCCAACAGTGCAACATGAATATATATAGGACATAGAACAAATAAAACAGATAAAATGGTGAAAGAGAATGTTTTGAGTGTGCAAGTACATACAAATATAATAGAAATAATGCAAGATAGTCTATATACAAGTAAATAGAATATGATATATTAGATAAATAATTAGCAAGATGCAAACAGATGAATGTTTATGGATGTTCTTTAAAAAGTTCAGGAGTTGAATAGTCTTATGGCCTGTGGAATTAAACTGTCCCTGAGCACTTAGAACGTGCTATCAATGAAACCTGTCTTTATGGAACACCTTATGGTCATAACATTATTTAAGCTAACCTTCCTTCTTGTCCATTTTCATTTGCAAGATCGTTATCACCTGTATTACTTAGCTTGGCTTGTTTATAATAATAGAACAGTTGCATAGCAACAGCAATGATGTAAAGCTCTTTGCATCTTTAAGCCATTACTCTCTGTGTTACTAGCGACGCTCAGCGCTTCACTCTGCATCTGAGCGGAGATAAAAGCAACTCATCTGGGCTGAAGGCAGATGTTTTCTTTCTGCCAGATTTCTCCCAGCTATTCCTTTGTGATGTTGGGTGATTTATCTTGCTTTGAGATGAAACTCACATATACCTTGATTATCATGATTATCTTCTGAGTTCTGTCTCTTTGTTTCTTCCTCTATCTATTTAAGTTTTATTTTTGCAGTCTGCTTTTCTCACTGTTCTTTTTCCTCTCTGCATTTATATTGCTTTATTGTCCGTTCAAACTCAGCTTGGGGTCTGAACCCGACCCTCTGATAGCTGCCTTCCTCTGTTTGTCTTGCCTGACTCAGTCTCTCTGGGCCCTCTACAAATGTCCCGCTCAGTTTCTCCCGCTTCCTTCACCCTCCACCTCTCCGTCTCATTCTGCTATTTTAAGGGCCTCCCCTGCGACGTCCCCCGTCTATGAATCTGCTGTTTTGCCACAGTTGTGCTGATTCAACTGGATAAATATTTCCCTATGTTTCCAGTGGCTTTCTGACCTCGAAGCAGTCAAACAATGACACATCAGTTGACATGCACACAACGTTTTGACATATGCTGACACGGCAATGCCAGTTAATATTTCTCATGTGTATTCATATTGAAAACATATTCGCATATCATCATGCTAGGCTACAGGCTATAATGCACTGACACCATGGTGGACCATCTGTAGGGACTATGCTCAAAGACCCAGACATTAGGATTGATCAGCTCAATAAAAAAGTAAATGGAGGTTTTTGTTAGTCCATAATTAGAGTTTAAATCTACAAAATGCCACATGACCTATTTTACAAAACATCTGACATTACATTACATGTTACTTGTTAGACGCTTTTATCCAAAGTGACTTGCATACTCAATACTGTGGGCAATCCCCACAGGAGCAATTTGGGGTGAAGTGTCTTGCCCAGGGACACAACGACATGCTGACTGCAGTGGGGTTTGAACCTGTGCTCCCCTGATCCGAACACCAACGCACTAGCCCACTGCGCCACACGCCTCCCGTTACATTAAACAATGATCTGACAAAGGTTCAGTGACAAAATAAACAATCTTAGTCTGAATACAGACACCATACTACAGGGAGCACACAAAACCAACAGCAACCAAGCATTATTTTGGCCTGTCAATATGTAACTCACATTACGTTTAGTCGTGACACATTACGTTTAGTCGTGACACACTACGTTTAGTCGTGACAGCTGAAGTGACTTATGAGTGCGTTTTAGCCTAAATCTTCTAGCCGGCCCGGCTAAAATAACTGGATGGCCTACCTGCCTGTCAGCCTTCCATCTGTGCACAAACTTATCTCGTGCCCTCATTGGTCATGTGCGCGTTCGTGTGTGTTGGAGGAGGGGCTCTGTAAGGAAGTGGAAGATTTTCTCCGGTTGTGTATTTTCAAATTCTAGCGCACTCGAGCTGGTTTCTCCAAAATTACCTACCCCACCTTTAACCTCTAGTCTAAACTATGTTTCAATTGAACACAATTTGGAAACATTTAGGACCACATTCATTCTGTTCCAGAATTATGAATGAACTGTGCCCTCCACAAAATTGGAAGACACAACCTCGCTTTCATCAATAGATTCAAATGTTCGGTCCGTTCAGAATGTTTTCCTGTTCTGAGAATAGATTAATCTGCAGCTGCAGCAGCTCCCAAACACTCATCCATGTGTTTGTGACAACATTAATACGTCAACCTCGATTCATTATTCCTCAGCGGGTAAAAGCCTGCATTTTTCACAAGATATTGATGAATAGAGACATTTGACAACAATCCCAGCTGGATGCCTGATGTAGGGACACACTCAGATGGAAGATATTAAGCTCCACATTCGATATGCGACTAGTCAAACACATAATGCCTCAATAGGTTGTTCACTCCACTGTTGCTGTCATAACACATTAAGCGATGCAGATGCAATCATTTTCCTCTTTCTTTCACCTCTTTGTGCCTTTAAGGTTCACAAAAACATTTTAGGTCCAGGTGCCAAGTAACACATAATGAAGACATTCATTTTGCCGTTAATTACAGTGCAGAATAAGCATTGTATGCAAATATGAGCAGTAATGAACTTTTCATGATTATGACAAGGGCTATGACTTTTCTTAACTAAACAAAAACCTTTTTTCCTCTTGTGTTTGTTTCATATTTAGTAGCAAACCAATAAGAATATCACAAAAAGACGACATAAGTACTTATTGTCTTGGATTAATGTTTCTAAATGTTACATTAAGTGTGTTTCAGTTCAGCTCTACAATGCAAAGTTCATCAATACATAGTGTATGGAGGCCCTGAGTGGCGAGTTATAAATATAAAGGTGTTGACCTACCCATTTTTTTCACAGCTTTATACATATTAACAAAAAATTATTCCGGCAAAGATTCTTTTCACTTTATTCAACCTGCCCTTACTGTATCTTAAAAACCAAGAGAGAAAACGATTTAGTAAAAGAGAAAGTGGATCACCAGAATTGTATCTTCTTACTTGATTCCCAGTACTTCCATAATATCGTAATAAAAGGTGAGTAATACCGTCTCTTGTAATTGCTCATATGGCCAACAGAATTGTAATGGAAGGATTATGACAGTGTGAGTTAAGGACACTTTCCAGCTAAACCCCATAACATTATGAGATAAAACGCCCTTCCTATTTCACTATTTAGTTGTTGTACTTAGATGCAAAGTGGGAAAACACAAAGAAAGCATTCACATGCTCCCCCTCTCTCCCTCATTAACCTTTCCAGATAATCCCCATTAATGAATTTGGCCTTTAATGTTTTGTGTTCAAATTGTAAATTGACTTCATCTGAGTCTGTTCTGTTATTAGAGGAACCTTATTATCTGAATGACTTAGCCACAGGGAGAAAAAATACGCCGCACTAGAAAAGCTGATTGGTTGTTAACACTGGCTGAATAGTTTTTCAGCAACAGTGGTTTAACCATACGTGACTCTCCTTCAGTTTGTCCTTGTAGTTCTCTCTTATTCCTCTAGCCACCTCAGCTTAGCACACAATTGTGATAAAGCAACTCGGCAATTGTTCCAGTGCTCTTTAGAAAGTGTGACCTTCATACAGCATTTGAGCAGTGTATTTCAGCACGGATGCTGCATTCAGGGCCTTTTCTTTTTCAGTGTCTGCTCGTAGAATTTATTCCAGATTTATATATCACATTACATTACATGTTACTTGTTAGACACTTTTATCCAAAGCGACTTACATACTCAATACTGTGGACAATCCCCCACAGGAGCAATTTGTGGTGAAGTCTCTTGCCCAGAGACACAACGACATGCTGTCTGCAGTGGGGTTTGAACCTGTGCTACCCTGATCCCAACACCAACGCACTAGCCCACTGCGCCACAGCCTCCCTATAAGATAAGATAAGATAAGATAAGATAAGATAAGATAAGATGGTACTTTATTGATTCCAATTTGGGAAATTGTTTTTGTTGCAGCAGCATAAAAGACAAGGCATTTTACAATAAAACAAAGAAATAAACAAGAAAAGAAAAGAAAATACACAATATACATGTGGAAATAGAAAATATACATGCTATAAATAAATAATACAGCATCAGCATGGATAGGAGATGTTGAGGCCTCCTCCTAACCCTATACTGTAATTCTCCAAATCCTGCACTTTCTATTCTGTCTCACCACACCGCCTTTAACCCTGTTCTCCTCACCATCCCACTCCTCTCCCCACTCAACAAGCACTGTAGGCTACATCTTCCCTCCCAAAAAGACGAGCATAAGTAAGAGACGTATCACAAAAGGAAAAAAAGGTGAAAAAAAGACTTTCTACTGTTGTTAGTGTTGATATATTCATCATGAGTCATTCCAATCTGTCAGCTCGGGTAGTCTTAAACAAAAGATTACAGATAATTGTGTCTGACTCATTTCAGGGTCTGTGTTTTGAGGCAAACTTTTTTGTTCATATTTAAAGTAAACAGAACATCTGCCTTGTTGGGTGAAGTAAAAAGCTGCCACATTGCACTCGTTACCAGATGCAATTCACAGTTTATACGCATTTTGAATTTTGTTGACCAGAATAGGTGCAGGCATGGGCCTTATATAGGGTTAAGCAATCATTTAATTATAATATTAAATTATGACACTATGACACTTTATGATGTCATAACGATTTTTTGGCTTGTGTAACCATTAGCCAATAACCAACCAAGGTAACCCCCCCCCCCACACCTTATCACCTGAATCTCCTCCTAGAGCACCATTGTGTTCT